CACTGTAAACAACTAGTCCAAGTTGATCTCTTGCGGACCAAAGTCGAAATGCTGCACACGCACACTTTTGCACACTGCCAGCATTTGGAACATGTTTTCCTGCCGTCCCATTTGAAGGAAACTAGTGCAGAGGCTTTCGAAGCCTGCAGCTCGTTGTGCAAACTAGCCTTCCCCCATCAACTCTGTTACATTGGGCATAGGGCCTTTGCAGGGTGCAGCAAGTTAGAGTGCCTTACCTATAGAGGGAATAAGAAAACCACGGGGCGACGCCTGAGAGTTGCTGACAATGCCTTCGAGGCATGTCATGCGCTAACTGCCCCAGGGGGGATCCATTATCTGCCCCTGAACAGAAATAAAGGGAAAATGTCCCTGTGTCGTCGAAACAAGATCCAACACTAGCGCAAGCAGGACTGCGCTCAGACGGCTGCCCGTGTAGTCGTCCGTACCCAATATATCATAGGGAGAGCTCCAGTTAGGCGAGCTAGCATGTTGTCCGCTGCAGGACATTTAGGCTCGAAACTAGATTCACATTCTCGGGACGGAGACCCCATGAAATGACAACAGACGCTATGTCAGTGACTAGCTCCCAATGTAGTGAGGAAAGGTCAATGGTCGTGCACTTGATCCTGACCACTCTGGCGGGAGAAGAAACCCAGCTTACAATAGAATTGCAGGAATACGACCGCCTCCACCAATTCGAAAGTGCTGTCTTGGAGCAACTTCCCAACATTGGAGAAAGCAGCACATTTGGCTGTGAGCTGGACTTTGTCCGTCGCAACACTCACCAGAAGCTAGTGGACCCAATATGGAGCACCTTACGGGACAATAATTGCTTCACTGTCATTGCTCGCCCATGCTTTGCAGAGGCCGAACATAAGGGACAGGTGAAGGGTGATGCCAAAGCTATTCGGGTCCCATATCACACCACAGACAGAATTCTTCCGCAAGCTTTCTCGTACATCACGGAGGTTCGGCGTGTGCAGGTTGAAGCAGGCATTCGCATCATAGGTGAGGCTGCGTGGCGAAACTGCCAGCGCCTCCAAATAGTGCATCTCTCAAGCGCAGTGATCTGCCTGCAAAATCGAGTCTTCCGCAGATGCTATGCACTCCGCACGGTAATTGCCCCAGGCTGTAAACAGTTTGGAATCAAAGTCTTTGAAGAATGTTGTTCCTTAATGCAAATTGGAACCAACAGTGAAACAACCAACCAACTGGCCCCGCAGGCACAGTTGATGCCTAGGGCTTTTGAAAAATGCACAGCGTTGCGGCACCTCAATCTGGGACAGTCCGATCATGACTCGTCGGGTACTTCCAGATGCTTACCTGAATGCTGTTTCCTTGAGGCTGGGATCGTGTCGCTGTCCCTGCCTCCAGATTTTGCATGGATTGGACCTGCGGCCTGTGAACGATGTCTGCGACTGCAGCGAGTTGATCTCTCATGCACAGAGGTCACTGAGATCATGGGCTCTGCCTTTGCACACTGTAAACATTTGCAGCACCTAAGTCTTCCGCACAAACTTCGCAGAATTGAGCAGGAAGCTTTTCTCAAGTGTACCTCGCTGAAAGAAGTCAGTGTCCCGCCGACATTGCTGTATATTGCCAGACGGGCTTTCGCCGGCTGCACACAGCTCTGCCAATTTCACAGAGTGGGAAAAAGCGTGACCTGGAGGGGAACATACTCCAGAGCTAATGCGTTCCTCAAGTGTGACAACCTTGACATGCCAAAGTGGGTACGTCTTCTGCCACTCAATCGGAAGGATGAGGACAAATGGACAGATGATTCCTATGCAGAACCACGTCAGTGGTAAGAGTCTAGAGAGGCGTGTTACTGAGCCCTTAGGCTGGCGCCCGTGTGCTGGCCCTGGCTATGCTAGAGGCCAACTCCCATGAGCACACATTGCCGCCAGAGCAACGAAGCAGTGCCCTGACTAGATAGCTGTCCTTCGAAGCCACGCCTTCGTCATGCGCCCATGACCAGGACCATGACAACCACAGGACCGACAGTGCGCGAAACTCCGCCACTATGTGGGGCATACCCTGTCCCATGCTGCTCACCAGCACAAGTGCAGTAGACGGGTTTGTAAGTAACCACACTGACTTGCACCTCAAAGCTAGCCTTGCAGGCTGGCGCCCGTGTGTTGGTCCTGTGAGTGCCACAACGTCTTGTGCCCAGGCTGTTACCCGCGTAGCGGCACTGGATGGGTATCGTGTACAGATATAGGAAAACGGCGTCTCACCTTGTTTCACCTATTTTCGCGTAGTTCATGGGGCCTTGCATGTGCTGGCCGATCTTGACCGGCTATTGAAGAGAATTGTTGCAATGCGTTTGACTGCTGCATTCCTGATGTGAATTGCTACGCTCCTCCCCTGCAGATAGTGGAGTGACGCTGCTTCGCAGCGGCCCACTCCGCCTGTGACTGCATGATGGCAACTACACTGCTCCCTTTCTTTCGGCATTTTGGAGATTCCGATTGCAAGCGCAATGGTCTTCCATTGATTTGCCTCATCATGCCAAATTTTGAGCCTCAGGTCATCGAGCGAAGCTAGTCAACTTAGCCTGCATCCACCTTGTCCTTAGTGGACCCAATGTCGGCCTTGACTCACACAACACACTGATGCCTCTCAAGTGCCTTGCGAGTACACAACTTGTCTCTGCCTCAAGCCCATGCAAGGGGGTCTAGATTGGCCTCCCTGTGCCATCTCCAAAATTCCTGACTATGCCAAGAACTAATCAAGCACTTAGCAGTTTGTTGAGGGACAAGAAGTACTGAGAGTTTTGCGGAATTCAACGCCCCTGTCTCACCTTCTCTCTCGCGGCATACACGGCCACATGAGTTGCGCAACAGGTTGCTTCCCTCCTTTTGGTGTTTTTGGTTTTGGGTTGCTTTGGTGTTTGGGTGTTTTGTTCTCCTGTGTGGTTTGCAACCTGTATAGTAACTCCTTCTTAACTTGACCAAGGTGACTTGTGCAGAACCTGCACACATAGCGCCTCGACTCGTGCAAAAAAAATCTCACCACTCCGTCTCCCATGTGATGTTCATCTGCGTTTGAAATTTGTAAAACTTGTCATGTGGGGTTATCCGGTCCTTTTATTTGTTTGTATGAAATACACAGCCTGGCCATTGGCCATTCACGTGGTAGGTCGCTGTACACCTGCATTGACGGCTGCACAGTGCTTTGCGTTGTTGCCTCTTGGGCTGCTAATTGATAGCTATAGACAGCATGCATGGCCACTTGGTCAGCCGCCAATCTTAGATCGGTGGCAGCAGTGCCTCCTTGTTCTGTTTCTTTGTGCTCGGTGGCAGGTCGATTTCTGCCATGGCTGTTTCCTGCTCCCGTGCTCCAGCAGGGTTGTCTGATGGCGTGGCCGGATCACTGCTAACTGGCGTCGGCATCGGGTCTGATCGGCAGGCCACATCCTCCAGTGTGGGGGGCCACGCATTCGCTTGGGCATCCTCTGGTATGCTTCCTAAGTGCTGCTCTTGACCCTGCCACACTGACTGGTGGAGTTTCTTGGCCTGGGACCGCCACTGCCCAGCTTTAGTAGCCGGACGTCGTTTAATTGGGGACTCAGACACGATGCTTTCACCATGTGGGAAGAGGAAGGGCAATCGCTGAGGCTTTCACCCTCTGCCTCATTGGCAGTAGCTTCATCACTTCTGCCCATCTGGTAATCACCATCAACAAAGCTGTGTGAGCAAACAAGTTGACCCGACATGATGCGTTGGTGCTCCGCGGCAGACTGGGATTTGCTGACAGCTTTGTACACGGAAGACTTGGTCGCTTGGTGCTCAGTCGACTGGTAGAGCATGCTTATGGGACCCAGATTGAGCTATCGCCACCATTGGCTTCTGCTTTGAAATTCATGCGTATGCGTTTGTTCGACGCAAAACCTCGAGTTGTTGGGACTGCGCGACAAAACCAGTTTTTCCTTTACACAGATGCCTCCTATGAGCCGGAAACCCACACTGGTGGGCTGGGAGTGCCTGGAGTCGAAGGGTGATTGGTGCAGGTGAGCTTCGACCCCAGTCATCCTTCGCGGAAAAGAAGACAGCT